CCTAATAAAATTGACTTGAAGGCAACCAAAAGGATTCTTCATTATCTAAAAGGCACTTTGGATTATGGACTGCTCTATTCTCATTCAAATGACCTCAAGATTATTGGTTATTGTGATAGTGATTGGGGAGGTGACCTACATGATAGAAAAAGTACTACATGTTATGTATTTCATAATGGATCTATAGCTTTTACTTGGTGTTCAAAGAAGCAACCAATTGTTACATTATCCACATGTGAAGCCGAATATGTAGCAGCATCATCATGTATGTGTCATGCTATTTGGTTGCGAAATGTGCTAAGGAATTTGCAGGTACCACAAGAAGGCCCTACAACGATCAAGGTCGACAACAAATCAGCAATAGCATTGACCAAGCATCTAGTATTTTATGGAAGAAGCAAGCACATAGATATAATATTCCATTCCAATTGAGAGCATGTGAAGAATATGAAGTTGAGCTTGTGTTTTGCAAATCAGAAGAACAAGTTGCAGACATTTGGACAAAGCCACTAAAGACTGAAACATTTTGTTATTTAAGAATGTTATCTGAAATGACAGTGACAAATTAAGGGAAGATGTTGAATATTAACTTGTCTTTTAGTTACTATGCTCATTCATTCTCTCTAGAAGATTCATAAGTGACGGTTCAACTGAACCGATGTGGTGCTTGGTGAAAAGAGGTGTACAATGTGATGGGGTGCTTGGTGAAAAGAGGTGTACAATGTGATGGGGTGCTTGGTGAAAAGAGGTGTACATTGTGATGGGCCATGTGGCCATTTGTAGACCATATGTATAGGCGGTTAATTGAGTCTATAAATAGTAAGACATTATTGTGATATAGGATGTGTGTTGAGATAAAATGGGTGAGTTAGACGTAAGTGAAAGATTGTGGTTGCTCTATTGTACTACAGCCTTGTGTTCTATTCTAAAGCAATAGTGAAAGTGTCGATTGATTCAATCCAAGCTTCCTATATATTTTTTGAGTCGAAACTCTTTTATTTATATTTTGAATTCTTTTTGGTGCAACAAATTTCTATCATCAGTAACCAACAAGCCCATCACATTCTATGTCATTTTGGTTCCATTTTGATGTAGTTTCTCTCATTTTATGTTAGCTGAATTTTCTTCATTTTCTACTTGAAAACTGACGTGGTTTTTATTTCTTCCTTGATTCCCATAACTTCAAATCCTAAAGGGAAGCACTACATGGTTTTTAAACGCTCCTTAAGGTCTCACGGTTCACTTCCCTTTGTAACTCATTCAAGGGTTTCACGTAGATGGACATGTTAATGGGATAAGTGGGAGATTACAATTTTTTTTGTTTTTGTTTTTTTGAGTCCACCCATTTGTTGGAGTTGCCAATGTGAGATTTGAGACTCTATTTGTGGCATAGAGATGAGATGGGAATCCTAATGGCATTAGGAGGTATTTTTTGGATAATGAAATATTTAGAATGAAAAAAAGTGTATAAAAGGTGTACACCTTATAATGTGGAAATAAAGTATACCTCACAAAATCCACTAGAGAAGGTTGTTTTGGTTCAAGGAAGCACTACAATTGATCACCGGGACTTTGAAATATATTCTTATTAAAAAAAAAAGAATTTTTTAAGTCTTAGAAATAGTACATCATGTGTCATATTATATAGACTGTCTATTCTTGAAACTATCAAATGCTTAAATATCAACTTGATATGCACTATTTTTCGAACTTTAAATTTTATAGTTAGAAGAAAATAAATTTTCAAGTCAGCATAAAACTTTAGGCTCCAAAAGCACATTTTTTAATAGCATTTGAAGGTGCGTCTTACTTTGATTGTTTTAGGTGGATACCAAAAATAAACTTAACCTTTAGAAATATCCTTAAAGAGAGTTATCCAAATCTAGGCTTTAGATATACCTTGGGTAGGAGTCCTTCATTTATATAAAAGAGCAGAGTCATAGAGAGAGAAAAAGTTTATATAAAGTTGCAACCTTATAATGTAGAGCTACAGATGCACCCCAAAAATCCATAAGAAAAGGTAGGTTTAATGTTGAAAAACCCTTTGATTGATCATGTGGACATCAGGATATATGACCATGAAAAATAAAAAGATTTTAAGTCTCAAAAATAGTGCATTTTACAACATATTATCTACACCATCTATTTTCAAGATTTTCATATGTTTATAGATCAACTT